AAATTTTAAAGTTGTAGAAATGTATAAGTGTAAAATTTAATTTAATTCTGAAGGAAAAGAAAGACAGGTTTCTTGTAATAATTCTAGTATTTTAGTTGAATTATGATAATCTTGATTTTGAAATCATTTGTTTAATGTTATCTTGAGTTATATAAATTCTTGATTTAAATCCTGATGCATGAATAGGAATGTTATAAGAATAATCCTTGACGAATGAAAATTTACTTGATAATCTTGAAACATATGGTAAGTTTTACATGTTCTTGATGTTTATGTGACATTTCATGATTACAAAAACTTGAATTTGTTTTGAAATGCATAATAATTCTTGAAAATGTTCATGTATCACTGATAATCTTGATGATTCTGAACTACTGTTCAGCCGGGCCCAGTGTGTAAGAAATTTTAAGTGAAAATATATTTTAATCGTCAAAGAGGGCGTAAATCTGGTAGTGCCAGTTGAATATGTGTTAGACGTGAATAAACTTGGCAGTTTTGAAACCGGATTCGTGATGTTCATTTACCTTGGTGATTTGTGTGACTAGAATTAGTGTTTCTTGAACCAGGATAACCTTGAATTCTTAACAGTTAATATAATATTTTATAGTATGAGCCAAGGTTTGACGAATTATCATTATGTGTACAACAGCAAAAATCCCATTAATTACGTAAAACTAATCTTCCTGTAATAAAAAGTTTTTTTGTATCGTTGAAAACTCTCTTCTTGTTTTTTTTATTTAAGTTTTAAGACAAGTGTGTGTTATTTTGCTAAGCCAAACCCGCTTTTTCAGGTTTAATTGGAATGTTGGCACTTTGCTGTAAATAAGTGGGTTCTGGTTGAATTTTGGGCACGCGGCCGCAAAAAGGTTCGCCACCACTATACTAGGATTAAACCCAGTTACGAAGTTTGGCGATAAAAATAATCGCTTTGTTTCGGAGTTGAATTTGAACAATTTACATTTGAACATTATTTTTTCGTAGTTCAAATTTAATAAATTTACGAAAAGAACCAGACTGCCGATAAGTGTTTACAATTTGTGACGAAGATACTTTCTAGTGATTTACCTTCAAAATTACAAATGTTTTCAAAATCGAAACCCCATGTGGGGTTGTAGCTCATAAGTTTACTAAGAAACAAAGTTGTTTATAATTATTTACATAAAATATTATTTTTTCTCTATGTGTCATAGAAAATTCTAATATATATAAAAAAAGATAAAAGGGAATGGGAAGTTTTTATATATTTCTTTTAAGTAAGTTATTTAATACTAGTTTCAGTATATTACAATTATCTGAGTAAATGTCGATCTAAAAATCTTGATATTTTGCTGACAGTGAGTTTGAATTACAAACTGTGACCGAGAGAAATTTCTTGCAGATACCAACTTTAGATTCCAGGCAGAAATTAAGTATAAATTTTAAATTTTTGTTTTTTTTTTTTTTTTTTTTTTTTTTTTTTTTTTTTTTTTTTTTTTTTTTTTTTTTTTTTTTTTTTTTTGTTATGTACATTAATTCTACCGGTAGTTAGATTTTGATAGCCCTCTAAAAAATAAAAATTACTTTTTACTTGCTCCGCCCTTAAGAACTACGTGAAAGGTTGAATGCCTGTGGAGATCTTTTTGAGAAAGACTGGCTGGTATTCACATTACACATGGGGAAAACCACGAAAGCGTCCATGAAGCAAGCCCGTTCACCGGGATTTGAACCCCGGACCAAATTATCAGTGTTCAGCGGCTTTTAGCTTTAAACCGCTAATGCGCTTAAAAATTACTTAAAGGTGTTAAAACATAAACAGAATGTGCTTATTAAGGTCAAATCAAGAGGCATCCTCAAACTGTACGTAAAAAATTAAATAAAATACGCAAACTTAGTAAATACGTAATCGTACGTAATAAATAATATTGTACTTAAATTTATATCATGTATAGACACCAACAGTATTCGTAACATGATTAGTGAAATTTGAAAGATTGATTAACTGATTTTACTAATATCAGCATTAACTGTATCACTGTTCAAAATTTAACAATAATTATCAATCAATAATATAATTCATTTGCAGATGACACGTGGAAATATATTATAGTGCGATTTGCATAAATGAATCAAAACTGAGTTATAATGCAAACTGTTTGCACAACTTATCTGACAAATTTCTATTTTAGATTATTCTTTTAGAAGTCCAAGAAATTTAAAAGCATTAAATTATTTTTGATGTTATGTATTGTTTAGCAATAGTTTAACAACATATTAATATGCAATTACTGTATTCAGCTTTCAAATATATATAATTCTAATTTTTCTTTATTAATGTAATTTTCGAAATATTTAGGGGGTTGATCTTTACATTACGGTAACTGGTAGTTTGGCGACATTTTGGAGGCGATAAAGGTTACTACCTGGGACTTTGGTAATAATGTGAGCAGTACTGAGTTTCCGATTACGCATTATTTTGTGTGGGGGAAATGAGAGATCATGAGATATGTCATGTGATATTAATGGACGACGATTACGGTTCTTTAATCGGAAAAGGGGGGAAATCGGGGAAAGGGAAAAAATCTGGAAATTTTGTATTTGGCTTTATTCTGTATTTTGATTAAATACATAACTTTCTTAATTTTGTATTTTGGCTTTATTCTGTGTTGTGTGAAATAGTGTTTGTGAATTTTGGATCCCATGGCAGTGTAAGTAAAGTGAAATTCAAATGGGTATTTAGGGTATTGAAAAGGATAGTAAGAATGTTTTTTAAGGTTTGTGAGAGAGAAAAACATGTTTTATTATGTTATTTATTTTACCTGGTATCTTGCTTTGAAAGATAAGTATGATTTTAAAGATTCCTGAAAGAGAATGAAGAAAAGTGTATCCGCCACGTAATGAAGATTCTGAAGGAGATTAGGTAACTTTAGTATTTTTAATTATATTTTATGCATTGTTGGAAATGTAGGTGGAAAGGAATTTGGTATTATTGGGAAAATTGTTATTAGCAATGATTTAGTTTAAAGTAATTAGGATTGTAAGGTAATTTTTATTAATTGAATGTATGTGCTCATGTATATTTTAAGTGGTGTTTTTTGAATTTAATTATATTTTAATGAAAATGATAGTTATTTGTGAATTTTATTTATTTGTAGGATTTGGTGTATGTTTAAGTTGAAAATAAATGTGCATGGAAATAATTTAAATATTTGATAATAAATATTTGTAATGCTTCATGTATGAATTCGTTCGTGACGTGTATAATGTAATAGATGATTTAGAGGTAAAAGTTTTTGGATATTTTATATGTGGAAATTTCATATTTGTAAAGGGTAAATACTTTTTCGCGATCATGTAATTTCATATATGTTCTTTTTTACCGGGTTTAAAGATTGAGAAAATTGTCATGTATTTTCGTGAAATTTTTTTAATTTATGAGATAAAAGCAGTGTATGGATATAGTGAAGAGTGTGCGGAATGCCATTTTGTGTGCAATTCTGGGATGTTTTTTTAAGTAAAAATAAGTCGACGTGTACATGGTTCAGTGATATTTTAATGAAATGATAGTTATTTTGTGAATTTTATGCTTGTAGGAATTTGGTTTACGTTTAAGTTGAAATAAACGTGCATGGAAATAATTTAAATATTTGATACTAAATATTTGTAATGCTTCATGTATGAATTCGTTGGTGACGTGTATAATGTAATAGATGATTTAGAGTAAAAGTAAAATTTTTTTTTGGATCTATTTTTTATTTTATATGTGGAAATGTTCTATATTTGTAAAGGGTTACTTTTTTCGCGATCATGTATTTCATATGTTTTTTTACCGGGTTTAAAGATTGAGAAATTGTCATGTATTTTCGTGAAATTTTTCGAATTTATGAGAAAAAAGCAGTGTACATGCATATAGTGAAGAGTGTGCGCAATTGCCATTTTTGTGCAATTCTGGGATGTTTTTTTAAGTAAAAAAAATAAGTCGGCGTGTACATGGTTTTATGTGTATGTGTTATTTTGAAAAACGCGTAAGGTGTATGGTATTGTGCACTTTTCCGAATTTTTGCAGTGAATATTTGTCATGATTAAGCAGTTTGTTTGATAAAATTTCTAGCATAAGTGTAATTCGGCTAGTAGATTGTTGGAGAAGTGTTCAGTAGATAAGAAGAAAAAGAAACATGTCTTTACTTCGTGAAGACAAAATGGCGGCGGGGAAAAAAAAATAGAGGGTTGCTGTAGGGGAGTTGGTCGCCAAAAAATCGCCAAGTTACCGTAATGTAAAGATCAACCATTTAGGGTTCAGCAGGAAAATAAAGGGATACGCCCCTGGTGAATACCCTCAATAAACATCGTTACCCCTCGAATTATCACATTTAACTGAGTGGTGGATCGTGAGTGACCTCTCGAGATAAAGCATCAAATCAAGTGGTGACCGAGAGTCACCTCTCGAATGCAAAGGGATTATATTTTCGTTTCTAATCCGCAAGAGCAATGCATTATTATTACTTAAAAATACCGTATTTACTCACATATTTCTACCCATTTTTTTTTTCAGCATATGATAGAGAAACCTCTCATTTATGGGAACTATGCAAAATGTGTGAACAAATAGGAAATTATTTTGCGTAAGTAAATATAATATTCAAATTGATAAAGGCTTTAAAATTCATTAACATTAGTGTATTTTTATATGTGCTTTGTAGTGCGCTATGTTTGTCATTTGAGTTAAGTCTTTAGAAAAACTATACCGCACTTATTTTTCCCCTCTCTGTTTTCAAGAGGTAAAATAAGTAGGAAAAGTATGGGGAGAATACGAAAGTAAACACGGTAATGATGTTGAATAAAAAAAAAAATAAATTACTTTTCAATAATTAAATTGTGAAAGCGAAACAAAATGAGCTAAAATTTCCAAGAACTCTTCTGCATGTCTAATGGTATGAAACGAAAGTATATCGTGTACACACTTTTTCTTAAATTTCAAATACTTTAATTACTACCAATAATATCAGTAATAATAGCATTGAAAATAGGAGGTTAAAGAATATTTAATTCGTAAGTCTACACGATTTTCTGGATGTTATCTAAAAGGAAAATAATTCCAACAAATGAGAAAATCAATTACGAAACCAAATTAGCTTGAATTAATAAAATCTCAATATTAAATAAATGAACTGATAAACATAAACGTACGTACTTTTCCAAAGGTTATCTAAAATCGTAACAGATTTATGAAATACCAAGGGTTCTGCACAGCTCTCATATAGAAAAAGAAAAACAAGTTACGTCAAATAGTTCGTTAAAATAAATGTTCTGGCTGTGTTGTTTAACCAGATATTAGATCTCTTCAACATACTGCAATCATTTTTAGCCATTAAGTATGCAAAACTAATTGACTTCCTAATTCTGGAATCTCGATAGACAAGGTAGGAAATCGCAGAAGCTCTAGATCCACACTAAAAAAAATTCGTATAATGTTGAAAATTTTACCTAAACGGAGACACTTCAAGATTGGGTGACAACATTTTCTAACAGTTTGGCCCAAAAGTTTATTTCGGATAGCTTTTTCCATTCGTCGGTTGAGAAAACTTCCTTTGCGTGAGCAGTAAAATACGCTAATGCACTCTTGTACAAATCCCGATCAGAATGTACACCCGCTAACTGCAAAATTTCGCATACGTTTTTGATGGTAAAGTCCGATTTCAGAAAGGATGAACATATTTCCGTGAGAACAGGAATATCGTACTTGTCCGCTATTGTATAGAGTTGCATCGTAGTTGCTTCCGGTAGTTTCTCCAGTACTCCAGAATACATGAAAAAAAGCATTTTATCTATTGTATCGGCATCTACGTCAGAAATCTCCACGATGCTGTTTTTGGATTCAATCATTTCGCTCGCGAACATTCTAGAAAACACAGGAGAGCGAGCTGACAAAACAAATTTATGTGCTGAGAATGTTTTCTCACCCACGACTATACGAATATCCGATAATTTTCCACTCTTGTAAAGATTCAGAAGATCACTAATAAAATAATGGCAATTCAAAATAGGCGTAAATTCACAGGAAGTTTCTACAATATCGGAAGAATAAACACAACTCGAAAACTGAAATTCACATTGTAAGACCAATATATCCTCTGCGCTAACAGAGATTCTTGAGAACTGTGCACATTTCCACTTATCATCATATTCAAACAAATGTTCGGTTTCACGAGAATGAGTAACATCGTAAGATATCTTGGTTCTTAGGAAAACAGGTTCGTATTCATCATCATACACTCTGCAAACAGAAACATCAACTATAACGCTGCCACCCTCTTCGTCTTTATACTTGTTGAATATTAAGTTCCATCTACATGATCGCACAAGGTGGCAATTGAACGCGCGGCTGCGCAATACTGTATTAACCGGCAGCTTGGAGAAATTCCTTATCGGCCACTTAAGTAATATTTTCTCTACGTTAATGTGGGTTCGAACCGTTTGAGCCTCAATAGCTACAAGAGGGAAATTAGGAATTTCATATTTCAAAGCTGCTGCAGACAGTTCTTCTTCAAACAGATCGTATTCACTGAAGTCAATTTTTCCTGCGTAAACGTATCTGATGATTACCTCCAGCACGTTCGATCCGATATCCAAAACTTGTTGGCTAGTTTCTTCTGCGTCTAGTTTTTCCGCCATTTTGGGCCACCTCGCCCACAAAATAGCCTTATGTACTTTGAAGGCTGAATCGCCGGCACGTAATACAACATCCGAGAACAGTCCATTTTCGTAAGAAAGTCCAGGGAGCATCTTTCTGCTCTTGGGCTCACACACTGGTCGCAAAGAACATTTTATGACTAAAATGTCATTTTTGAAGGTTCTAAAGAGAAATCTTTCATTAGAATGATCGTAACCCCACTTATTTTTCGCTCCAAAAACAGAAGTTCTTTCGTTAAAATTATAAATTAAAGTGCCGCAGCAATCTAGTACTTGAAATCTAAATATTACTTTACAAGTCTGCGAAAAATTATTTCTTGTAAGATAAATGGCTGCGTGATTTTCATGAAAACTCTTTTTCGGATATAATTGCACACGCCACTTCATGCCCGGTAAAGTATTCAAGGCAAATTCCGGGCTGTAAAAATACTCCTCTTTAGATTCATGGCACATACTGAGGTTTTCAATAAGCCATTTGAACTCAAATTTGCTCTCCGTCCGTACCTCCATTCTATGCGCCATATTCTTGTTCTAACCGCTGATGACGAGCAAAGAAAGTTACTCTTAGCGTACGAGTTTCACTTCGTAAGATAAGACGAACCGAAGCTAACGTCACGTGACTTCCGCACTGCTCAGCAAACCTACATTAAATTCTTATCAAGCATGTTATTGGCGGCAGTCGGCGAAACTTGGAATTTGGAATTTGTCATCCTCTCCGCGCTTACAGCAAAATCGCATTTTTTATTATCACATCGGTTATTAACTAGCTCAAATTATAGTTAACTTCCTATAGAAATAAAGCGTTAAGCATAATTGAGATTAAGAAATATGTGTGATTTAAATAAACCTAAATATTGCTGTAATTAAATGGAAAAAAATGTGAATTGAATGTTAATTGAAAGGACTTCGAAAGCGCGACTTAGGATGTGCGTTAAATTTATATATATATATATATATATATCATTGTTCTAATACAGTTATTTTGACGTAAAATCGGACATTTTCTGAAATAACATACCGATTTTTTTTCCATATTTCGATTTTATGCCTCAATAAATATTAAATTTTGTAAAATTTGACGAGAAACCTACCGAGAAATTTTTTGAATGTCTTGTCGCATTTCTTTCAGTTTGCGCTAAGAATACCTCACTTGGCGAAATTCTTAATTTATGGTAACCATTTTTCTTTTTCGTTTTACTGTGACTGTGCAAGAGCGGAATAAAATATGCGTCGTCCATTCTTTCAAACAATTTTTAACAAAGTGCGTCGTAAACCATATTTCTAGTTATTATCGGTTATAAGAAACATGCCGAATTTCAGAACGCTTCAATATATAAATTCACGTATATCTTCGGATAATTTATGCAGGTGTGCCTAGAAATACATCTACTTTTAGATGATGGCAAACATTTTACAGGTTATATTTCAATTTTTTTCGAAAAATTTATACAAATTACTAAAAAATACAAATTTTAAAAGAAATCAGAAAATAGCTGCGAATTTTATTTCAATGGAATCTAAATTTCGAATTGTGAAAGAAGGATTCATGTAAAATTAATAATAAATAAATAATATATATATATGTGGGAAATGTCATGTCATGATATTCCCTAATCCCCTACTGTATGACGTATGCATTGCGTCAGCATGTGTTTCCCCGCCTTCGGGAGAAGACGAGGATTAGCTGGCGAGCGGAGCAGACGTCGCTCGATCGCTCGTATACCATTTTCATAATTGTAATCCTAATGTAATCTATATTTGTAAATAGTAATAATGTGTGTTATCAAAACTATGGTCGTTGCCTTTCCCCACATTTTGGGGCTCGACCGTGCCTTTGTGCATGCGTTATAATCGAACCCTAGACACCAGCAATCACTAAAGACGTTCAGAAAGCTAACAAAGGCAAGACGTGTCTTTATGACGGTTTAATATTCTTCTTGAAGCAAGACGACGTATGTGAATGAAGACTTGCCTTTATGACGATTTAATATTCTTCGACCTGGACGACATGTGTGAATGATGTTACATGATACTTGTCCGTTGTTCTGATTTTGGACGTTAAATCGAAATTCGATTTTGGATTACATTGGATTGGCCAAGATATATATTGGATTATAAGGACTGCCCCGACGTTAGGTAGGCCCATTTTTCCCTAATTCGTTCATAATTTATTAGTATTACGATTTTAAGCTGTGTTTAATCTATTTTTTTGCTTCATTTGTGTAAGTATCCTCAGCTTTGTATCTACAAATTATTTTTTCCATACCTATGTTACTATATTATAATAATTTTTTTAAAATTTGATTGATATATTATGTTGCTTCAGGCGAGGTTGCATGTCTGGTCATGATTGTCGAAATGTGGGAAATTTTCATTTCATGATATTCCCTAATCCCCTATTGTGTGACATATGCATTGCATCAGCATGTGTTTTCCCGCCTTTGGGAGAAGACAAGGACTAGCTGGCGAGCGGAGCAGACGTCGCTCGATTCGCTCGTATATTATTTCATTAATTGTAATCCAATGTAATCTATATTTGTAATAGTAATAAATGTGTGTTATCAACTATGCTCGTTGCCTTTCCCCCCCCCATATATATATATATATATATATATATAACAAGCAAGGTAGTTAGTACAATACCGTATGACCAACATGGTCTAGATAACATTTTGCGCAATATGCTGCAAAATAAGTAAATTAGAAATTGTAATAAGCTCGCCTAAAAGTTACTAGGAGCTGTGGCTCCAAAAAGTTCAACACGTTTTAAGGAACAATGTCATTGAAGGGTGAGACTGGTTTTTTTTTCCTTTCTCGTGTAGCATATTTCTCACCCTTCAATGACATTGTTTCTTAAAACGTGTTGAACGTTTTGGAGCCACAGCTCCTGGTAACTTTTAGGCGGGCTTACTACAATTTATATATATATATATATATATACGAGATCCAATTAACTTAGAGGAGCTAAAATTTTGACAATCAATTCTTTAAAATCTACTTGTACGATTTTTACAAAACTTGGCACTTTGGTATACTTTGTAGAATTCGTAATTCGTAGAATCGAAAAATAGAAAAAAAATTAGGCGTGGCATTTTAGAAAAAGTTCGGCATTTTTTTAAGGTGTAGAAATAACTATGTTAGAAAAATATATACAAGTCTAATATGTATACTAAGTGCGCTTTCGGGTTATAAAAGACGCAAGGTCAGTTTTGTCAATACGCTCTGTAGATCGAGAAATATAGAACTGCCTCCCCCACCTCTTCTTATATAAATAAAGTAAAGGAAATATTGTAATCGCGAAAAATTTCGGGTATCATATTTCGACGAAAATACCCATTTCAATCGCTCTCGAAACCATTTGAACAATGTTTTTACGTGACATCTGTACGTACGGACAGAATAAAGGACTACTTTTCTCGAAAAGGATTGTAAAATGGATTTAGAAGAGATTTTTTTCTTGACGTTTGTACGTACGTATTTATGTCTGTATTTCGCATAACTCAAGAACGAGTAGCCGTACAGGGTTGAAATTTTGTATATGGGATAGCTATAACACGTAGCTGTGCACCTCCCTTTTATGTTACAATTGGCTGCACCAATCATATATATATATATAATAAAAGCACAATTTTTGAAGGAATGATGTAGGAACACTGAGATACTGATGGCGTAGATACTCCATGCTTAAAGCCTTGATCCATATTGAAGAAGCAATCGAGCAGGATTGAATTCCAAATTTATTTAAATACACATTTGTAGCCAAAATTCACACTATATTTTTATCTCACACATATGAAAGCAAACTTTTAAATTTAATTGGCTATAACCTCTTATTTAATTTGAGGGCTTCCTCTCTCTGTCTTAGAAATAGCGCCATAAGTCTAAACTGCGTCATTCAAATTAATCATGCGATCTTACGTAACGCTTAATGCAGATATCTCTTGCCCAATCAAAGTGATTATAAACCAAAACTTTTTGACTCCCTCCCTTCATCCTCTGCGTTACTACTGCGACAATCTCTCTCTTTTTCGCTTACGCTTTCATCCTAGCAAGAGGGTGCTGCAATCATCTTTGTGCTCCTGTTGCCATAGTGTCAAAATTGTAATTGTTCTGGAAATAGGCAAGATTGGAGTGCCAAATAAATTGTGAACACAAATGTGAATTTAAATAAATATGGAATTTAATCCGGCTCGACTGTTTCTTCTTCAATATGGATCAACGCTTTAAGCATCAAGTATCTACGCTATCAGTACTTCTGCGCATTTACATCTCAGTGTTCTTATATCAGTGCTTCCAAAATTGTGCTTTTATTACATTTTTTAGCCCGACAGGATTGGATTACGTGCTACTAACCTCAATGGAACATTTAATCCTCAGTTAGATTTCTGTAAAATAGTATCTTCAAGTTCATCATTTCATCATCGAGTATTTAAATATGGTGTGCTATCATTACATGTATATATGTTATATATCCCCAACTCCATTACCTGGCTTGGTGAGCTTACATTTTTTAATCTTATATATTGGCAAATTGTGCATTTTTTGCTGTGAAAGTGATTGAATTATGTAATTTTTAATGTTCCGGTTAAGGTTTTTTTTTTTCCTTAAGTTATGCATGCAATTGCTGTAGAAGTATCAACAATTTAAAATTTTAATTGGCGAGTTAAGCCTAAAAAACCGTCATCTGAAACTCAGTAGAATACTGAATTCAGTTTTTGCACCTTCAATGTCGTTTTGCCGGGTGGAAACAAAAGTAAACTTTGAGTTTTGTGCACCGAAAAATATGCCTTCTTGCCCGCTGGCCGCATTGCTTGTTTTTGCATTAAAACTCCAATTTTAATTGTTAAAAAAAATTCTTTTGACTGTTTTAGTTTTATTTGGCGTTTTAGTTTTTCTGTATTTTACAATTTTTAATGAAGATGTTTTGAGTTTTTATGTATTTTTACCTTGCCGCGAAGTGAGAACGGAATTAATTGAATGAAAAATGTCTCTACAATGAAATTCGAGAAGATAAGTTTAAATGAAATGCAGGAAAAAATGTGTATAATTTAATTGGCCATACAACGAAGTCTTGTGGTAGCCACATCAGATTGTTTATGCAAGGTGTACGTGATGCAATTTTTGCTTTGAATGATGCAACTCTTTAAAAGTTTAGCGCAGAGATTTTCATTGCATGTCATAGAGTCTCCTATTGTTTCTTCATTTGGTTCAATCTCAATTACAAAATCAGGCAGTTCGTGTGTTTTTTTTTAACAATGCATTAAACTTCTTTAACGCTAAAGAAACTTTTTACTTCCATGTACGAAGTAAAAACGAAGTATTGTAATCCCGAAAAATTTCAGGCATCATATTTCAACGAAAATATCCATTTTAACCGCTATCGAATGCAGTTTAACGATGTTTTTGCGTGACATCTGTACGTAAGGACAGAATAAAGGACTTTTTTCTCCAAAAAAATTATAAAACAGGTTTAAAATGAATTCTGAAGAGACGTTTTCATGACATATGCGCGTACGTACGTATCTCGCATA